GAATAGAATCTGCAGTAGAGAAGGGCTGCATTTCGAATGACATAAAGGATCAACATGGAGGATTCTTAGAGTGGAACTCTAAGATCACAAAGAAAGATCATCAATCCATTGTTAAGGTAATTATTGTTGAAAAAATAGGATTTAGTTACTTTGTGTATTGACAAGAATATAATTAGAGCAATGCTACTCGTACAGAAATTATTGTACAGAATTCTTACAGAATACATGGGTGGATTATTTTTTGTAATATTTTAATTCACCCCATCTCAGACACATCTGTAAGAATTCTGGAATTTTTTTATGTACAATAAACATTATTATATTGTTGGAATAATAAACACATAGGTGTTTTAGAAATTACTATAGTAGCTAGCATGCTTTACAAATATTCTTTTTCCATTGATCTTCTTGATACCACTTCAAACCATTTGACCTTCTCCAATGTTCTTCAGTAATAAAAGATTGTAGAGATTTTAGGTGGGATGGCACACAAAAGATTAAAATTCATTGAATCTCAATATAAGTTGTGCTAAAATCTCGTGTGCGAACGGTATCATAAACTAGTAGTAAAGTAGACGAGTCTAATTATCAATCGCACAAAGACTAAGTATCAGTTCCCAATTAGTATTAACTTTAAACCAATACGACAATTGTATAGATATTGATGGTATTTACTAATTTAACCTAATATTAACTAACTAATCTAACTATTAAATTAATTAATTGGGAAGCATTTATGATATCAATTAGAAATAGAAAGTACTAGAATTTTGAAATCCTTTGTGTTTTCATTTTAATATCAATCCAGTCATTTGACAACTCTTACTCGAATTTGAAGATCAATGTTCCTATTTTATTTATTAATCTTTCTCGAATAAAATCCCCATATTTGACCTGAAATATTCTTATCCTAAATACGAATATATGAAGAGGAATTTAGGGCTATTTTGGCATGACTTTTATTTTTACTTCCCGTGGAAGAGTTTTTGGAGGAAGCTGCGTTAATTTATGTTTGAAAACAAATTTTTAAAAGAGCTCCCTATTCCGAAAATGCTTTGAGATGAAGTTACACTGGACCAACTTCTTCTAAAAGCTATTCTAACTAGCAAAAGCTCTTTTATAAAATTAGCCATACGAGTCAAAAAGTATTTTTTGGATCTCAAAAGCTCATTTTGATTTCAAAAGTCATGTTAAATAGGTCCTAATTCACAAAAATATTTAATGAGATCATGGAAAAAATAGCAGTACTTTATTCCCTATCGAACTTTACAATGAATGTTACTGTGTTGTAAATCCATGTTCTTTCTCCCAGATGTGAATAGAAATCACAAATTAATTCAATTCAAGTAATTGAAAAACATTAAACTACTAACAATATTTTAAACTAAACAAAATTACAATTTGAATATTAATATCAAAACATGAAAATATAGGACGCTATCTTGGCATATATACAATTAGCCAAACATCATATGAATACAAAAATACAAATTGAGTCGATACGACATCACTTGTAATTAAAGGTTGGGAAGAAATATGTAAAACAATCTTGAATCTTGAATCCTTTCATGGTTATTGATGAATCTCCTTGAATATCTCTTTCTTCCTTTTTAACAGAAGAAAAGATATATGAAATTGAAAATATGCATGGAACAAGTGTTTGGCATCAAAAGTAGGGCTACATGGTTCGATTCCGTTAGAACCAAACTGACCCAAAATTTTCGAATATTTAATAAGTGGAACCGTCGGGTCCAAATTTAATTATGGAACCGTTCGAGTTCGGTTCCATTCGGTTCCATATTAGAATTAAAATTTTTAATATATACAAAGTTACATTAATTTAATTAATGATATGTTCAATTTTAGCTCTTACAAAATAACGTAATCTAATTTTATGAGTCTTTTATATCTCTTTTTACTGAGTTCTTCATAAATTTGATTATTAAAATCATAGGAAGAAAAAGATAGCAAACTCAAAATAATTAAGAAAGATGTTGTAGAGCTTTAATTTGATTTTCTCCAATAGAAACGACACTACAGTAAAGTAACAGATTTTGATAAATTGAGGTCAATTTGATTAAGTTGACTTTGAACTGACAATTAGAAATAGGAAAATCATATTTTTTTTGTTTGAAGTAAATTAACTAGTTAACAAATTTATTTAGAAAAAATAAAATAATTTTGCTTATTTAAAATAAATTAATTAAAAAAATTAGGGAGATTCGATTTTTCGAGTCTTGGCCTAGAACCGAGAACCAAATCATACTTGTCAGTTCTCGATTCAAATACCCGTTCGAGTATTTAACTTGAGAAGAACCGTCGGGTTGGTTCGGTTCGAGAGTTTTGTCCAATCATAATCAAAAGGTTCTTCCAAATCTTGCCACCAAAAAAAAAAAAAAAAAAAAAAAACCCTAATTCTGTCCATGGGCTTTCCTCTTGAATAATAGATGAAACGTTATATTTATGGCCACCAAAAGCTTCTTCAAAATCTTGCAAAAATTATCTATATTCTATCTTTAGGCTTTCCTATTGAATGGTAGATGAAATGTTATATTTATAGCCTCCAAGATTAGGTCAAACTCGTTTCCTAATTGCTTTTCAATAAGCGGTTGAGTCAAAATAGAAAATAAAATTTTTCTGTATTGCATGAGCTAGATATTATACGTGCTGAACTGAAATCACGAGGATAGCTATCACAACAATCACAAGGCCTCTCTTTTTAGTTGAGCTCAACTCGGTCCCTAAATTTCTCTTTTGATTGAGCTCGAGCCTCATCCTATTTGCACCTTTGGTCCTTCATATTGAAATATTTACAACTTGGCCCTCCTCTTCTCCATAATTGATTCGATGCAAGTTTTGAAAATTTACAATTAAGTCCCTTAACTTTTCAAATTTCAAATTTAACTCTCAAAACTTGTGATTTTTTTTTTTATTTTTATTTTTTACGATTTCTATACTGTACTTCTAATGGATCATGTGGAATTCAATTGATTTTCAATTGCTTTGAATCAACTCCAACGGGCTCAAAAAGGCCTCTCTTCATGCCAGTTGCATCCAAGTCGGGAACTTTCCTTCAATTTACATATTTACACTAAATTAGGTAGATATACTCTAAATTAGTCATAATTTAGCAAGTTTAGAAGCTTGGGAAATGGACATGACTAGGTTATGAAAACATTCATAGCCTACAAGGAATCTTTCTTTTAGTTTGGATATGGAAATATTCCATAACCTAAAATGAGTTCTTTTTAGTTCTAATCCAAATCAAACTTTTTTCATATATGAATGACACATGTTTGGCACATGTGATCCTTCTCCGTCGAAGTAATTAATTAATGCGGCCACACTGTCGAGTCGGAAAAATTGGGTATTGTCATATAGCTTTGTATCGGCTAAGTTTATGACCAACAATAAATTATAGCTCTTATTATTTATTTCGGTTCTTATTTTGAAATTGATGAGATCCAATTAAACTAAGCTCCAGTAAATTAATGTTAATTTGATCAATTCTTAGTCGATCGAGATAATTTATTAGCCCCATTCTATTCCACTAAAAGAATAAATTACACTACGTATTAGCCACGTAGATCATGTAGAATATTCTAAACAAGATAAAATGTACAAAATGCCCTTTTTCAATTATACATAAATCCTTAAATTTCATTTTTCGTTTGACTGTCCCATGTCATCGTATTACAAAGTTAATTTAATAATCAATATCACATTACTAAGCACATATTTAACTATCCACTAGAAAATCTTTGAGATCATGCTTGTGCCTATCAAATAGTTTAAGAATATCATATGGCATGTATATATGTTCCAATCATTTCACTTTAATTCTCAATTATATCTAGATATTGACCAATAATTTTATCTCACTCATTGATACCCCAAAGAACTTCAAGTTATTAATAGAAGTTCATTACATGCTCCGGATTAATGTCCTACTTACAACAATCAAGTAAACTTAAATTCTTGCTGTCAATTTCACAAATTAAATTTAAGGGCGTATGGATTATCGAGAGGAGAGGAGCCATGGTGACCATCTCGAACTGCCCTATCACCATATCAAGGCCAGTTTGGTTTCGATCCTCCTTAGGAATAGGGAAATCCTTCTGATAAAGTTCATCTTAGTTTCAACGGTTTTATAATCCTACATTCTAAAATTTACTCTCAACCTTATTGCAAAAATCAATATTGAAATTTAATAAAATTGAGACAATATCAAAATAAAGGGTTCGCCTTTACTTATAAATGTTGGACAATAAAATTTAAATCTAATTATAGATCGAATCTTTACGTGCTTAACAAAATGTAAGCTCAATTTAATACAAATAATTTATCATAAAATAATTAATATTTTTCTTTTCAAAATATAGCGAGTTACTCTACAGGCAAAAACCTATCCAGCATTTTTTATGATATAACTGGCTTCAATTTTCATTTTCCTCTAGTTACAGAGAAGTTATACTAATTTTTCTGCTTTCAGATTATAATAGATGGATGGAACCCTAATGCAATTGATATCGAGGGAAACAAATTGCCAACACTGGTATACTTATCCCGAGAAAAAAGACCGGGATGGGCACACGACTTCAAGGCTGGATCCATGAATGCACTGGTAATCAATTATTAGGGTCATTCCTTTTTTTTTTTTTGGGTGTAGTGCACAAATTGGAGGTAATTTGTTTTATTCTTGGCCTAGACACGAGTGTCGTCAAAGATCACCAATGCACCAATCATCCTTAATTTGGATTGTGATATGTATGCTAATGATCCGGATGCGATAAGAGATGCACTGTGCTTCTTTATGGATGAAGAGAGAGGACATCAGACATCCTATGTGCAATATCCTCAACGCTATGATAATATAACCAAGAATGATATTTATTCCAATGTAGCATTTGCAACAAATAAGGTACGTTTTAAAATCATGCTAAGAAATTCTGATTCTGATTCTGATTATTGGTTTTAGATTGTAAAGTCTCTAAAATTTCCGTTTATGAAGATCGAGCTTGCTGGTATTGATGGTTTTGGCGGAACTCTATACTGTGGCACTGGATGTTTCCACAGAAGAGAGAGTCTCTGTGGAAATAAGTATTCTAAGGATCACAAATTTGAATTGCACAATGAAAAATCTAACACAAAGGGTAAAACAGTTCAAGAATTGGAGGAAGAATGTAAGCCTCTAGCAAATTGCAACTATGAGAAGGGTACTCAATGGGGAAAAGAGGTATTTCTTTTCCCTCTTTTCTGTCTCACTTGCATATATATGGTAAAAATGAAATTGTGATAGCGTTTGTGGATTCGAAAAATGTAGATGGGACTGGTGTACGGGTGCCCCGTGGAGGATATAGTGACAGGCTTAACAATCCAATGTAGAGGATGGAAACCGGTTTTCTACAATCCAACTAAACATGCCTTCCTAGGCATTGCTCCAACAACGTTAGATGTAGCACTCATTCAGTTCAAGAGATGGGCTGAAGGCTTGTTTCAGATTTTCTTTTCCAAGTACTGCCCCTTCATATATGGACATGGGAAAATAAACTTGGGTGCCCAAATGGGATACTGCGTCTATCTTTTATGGGCTCCGGTTTCATTGCCCACAATGTATTATGTGATCATTCCTGCTCTTGGCTTGCTCCATAATGTGCCCTTATTCCCAGAGGTATGTGTATCGGTACCATTTACCTTCAAATTTATTTGAATATTTAAGGCTGTCTAAAAGTTACCATTCCATTATATTTCAGGTATCTAGCTTATGGTTCCTACCGTTTGCATATGTGTTTGCTGCAAAAACGATTTACAGCCTAGTCGAAGACCTAATTTGTGGCGATACGTTGAAGGGATGGTGGAACTTGCAAAGAATGTGGATCATTAGGAGGACAACTTCTTACCTTTTCGCCTTCATAGATACAGTTATTTGGCAATTAGGCTTCGCTCAGACATCATTTTCCGTCACTGCAAAGGTGGTTGATGATGATGTGCTAAAGAGATATCAGCAGGAAATCATGGAGTTTGGAACTTCGTCTATAATGTTTACAATTATAGCAACAATCGCACTGCTAAACCTTTTCAGCTTGGGATGGGCAATCAAGAATGTTGTTTTTGGTACAACATTGATGGATTTGGAAAAGTTCATTCCACAAATGACTATTTCTGGGCTGCTGGTCTTGCTTAATATACCAGTTTATCAAGCCTTCTTTCGAAATGACAAGGGATGCCTACCTTCCTCGATTGTGTTCAAGTCCATTGTCGTAGCATCACTTGCATGTTTGATGCCTATTTACTGAATAATCATGCTACGTTTACATCTTTCTTTACATCATCCTTTACTTGTCACGTGATAACACATTATTAGACAGTTTAAAAAAATAAGCAATTTGATTTGCTGAAAGCATGATGTAAAACTAGCTTAGATCAAATGAAGTACTGCTAAAAAGATGATGTAAAAGTACCCATCAAGGAAATAATTGGGAGGTTGAGAATTCTCTCTGAATCTTGCAATCAATAATTTCTTTAAAAAAAACAAAAAAAAAAGTACAGATCTTTTGTTCGGTGATAATGTTATCAATGACAAATATGAGGCTGAATTCATATGTGCTTCAGATTCTTTGGATGTTCGCCTGACTTTGGCTCCAAAATAGGCTTGAGCATTTTAATCGGAACCGAATCTCTCAAATTGAAATCGAAATAGAATCGAAGGTTCTGCTTCGGTTTTTTGAAAAACAAATTAGGAACTGAAACCGATAACCGACTGAGTTCGGTTCGATTCTTGAATCAGAACCGTGGGTATTCGAGTAAAACCAATTTTTATAAAGAAAGTTATTTACAATTTATAGGATGAAAAAAATATAAAACCTAAAAATCCTAATTTTGATAGTAATTAGTCTAAAACTTTAAACTCTAACCCTAAAAATAAGATAGTCTCATACTTTTTTACATCTAACCTTGTATCAGATTGTTGTGTTTCAAAGGTTATTATGTGTTAATGTTTACAATTTAAGCTTTTTACAAATCAAAAATTTCAAACAGGTTGTGGTATAAGTTGATGAATTAAAGCGTTTATTCTTTGCAATTTAAGTTTTTTACTTTCTTATATTGTTAATAAACTTAAGTAATTTTTTTTTCCATAATGCGTGGTAATTGAATTTGATATATTTATTGCTTGGGTTGTGTTATAATTTTTTGATATATATATATATATATATATATATATATATA